TGATTAGGTCTATGAACACACAGCATAAATTTATACTCCAAATGTGATTTGCTATTTAGCAGTCGTGTCATTATAGATAAAGTGTTACCCAATGTCACCCTTTCATTACAAATATATTCACTGCTATTTTGATTCCATTAATTAATTGTTGACTTTTTAAAGACATTTATTTATTTATATCAAATGGCAGGCGTTTTGATGGTTATCATTAGATCTTTAGTTGACTTCAGGCTTCACAGAAGGGAAGGAATATCAAAGTGAAAAAAAGTCGAGAGGAGGGGAAGTGAAGAGTGTTTCAAAGACGAAGGTTTTAAATTTAGAAAAAATGTGATGTAGTACTGTGGAAGTGGTCGAATATGTCAAACAGTTTGGTCATGGTAGTTAGAAGTCAACTGCCAGTTAATAGACTTTTTTGCCGTATGAGTATACGTTGCCCAGAGTGCACCACGTGCATAGGAAGATATAGAAAGATAGATATAACGGAACAAAATGGCTTACTAAGAAGTATAGATTCAGATAGTCGGAGAACCCATTATGTCTTTTGTTCGATTAATTGTAGCCCAACCGGTTTGGATGCCTGCTCAACAAAATATTTATATCTTCAAACCCAATTTGAATTTTGGAAAATCCTCTCGTAGACATATTCTTAAATAGCTAAACTATGAAAATATGATGGGAAAGAAAATCAATTTTTTATTTCTAGACCAGAATACTCCCTTAATCTCGTGTCATGAATGGTGCGATGATGAGTTATCTACGAGGAAGCTTGGGAAAAAATAGTTCATGAACAATGGTTTGATGACTGTGTAAGAAAATGTTCTGCACATTCTCTTGGATTCGAAAGTGGGGCTCAAACACTGTCAACTAATTTGAAACCAACAGGATCATTGTTGTGAACCAATGGAACATAAAACATGCGAGCCTATTTATTCAAAATATTGCATGAATGTTTGTTTGTGCGTGCTACAATGCAATACACTTACACTCCTACTTACTCTCTCCATCTGGGCCTGCACCAATCGTGAAAACATTTTCAAATTGCTGTTTGACACCAGACTAAAATGCCAAAAAACAACAAAACGCAATTAAGTTGGATTTAATTAATTGATTTGGAATTCAATTAAATGAAAAGGCATAAAATTATGTCGTTCTAACTCAGAGCATTCCATGCAAGTAACCGCATGAATCTCGTATGCTAGACGTTGTATATCGTCAGTTGAAAGAAGATAGGAATTCGGTGGACAAATATTAGTCTTGCAACCAAGTTAAATTGACTGTGTTTTGAGATTTAAGCCTATTATTTCCGGAACCCACTACAATTGGCAATATGCAAAACAGTCTGATGGATGACGGTAAGGTAGTTACGTTGGGGAAATACATGCATCATTCAAGTGATTTTTAGACAAACTGGCTTCAAATATCGCATGGATTGGTGATATGGCACTGACGTCTATTCAACGAGTGAAACAAAAATTTAGGCAAAAAAGAACATTGCATCATTCAGATTCGTTCACTTCAGCCAGAAATGTCATCAGGTTGCCTTTTTTGCTAATGCCATCATATGAAGCGCGATTAGTTACGGTAAAGAATAGAGTAAAGGCGTCTGTGCCAGAGTGGATACAACTCCGTGGATCTTCATATTTACCTTGAATAGCAGTTATCAATTAGAGTGAAAATACATTGCTTCTCGCAGATTTTACAGCTTGCTCAATAAGTATTAATTATCTATTGAATTATTCTTTTAGATCAAATGGAAATCGTTTTGATAGTTATTATTAGCCCTTTAGTTGACTCCAGGCTTCACAGAGGAGAAGGAACATCAAAGTGAAAAAAATTCGAGGTGGGGGGGGGTACAGAAGATTGTTTCAAAGATGTTAAAGAGACAGACACAAAGGTGGAAAAAAAGGTGAGGTGAGTACTGTGTAAGTAGTCGAATATGACGCACAGTGGGGCCATGGTAGTTTGAAGTCAGAAGTCTACTGCCGATTAGTAGGCTTTTATTGCCGTATGAGCATACGTTGCCCAAGGTGCACCACGTGGAGGTAAGTCTATCCCACACCCCACCTATTGGATTATGTCATTGTATTTCCGTTGGGATGTGGCAGAATGGAAACTCGCAATTGACATGAACCGTAAGGGGGCTTGTTTTTCCAATGCCACAATACATTCGATTTCCTGTTCTAACATTTTAAACCCCCCAACAAGTGGTTGGTTAATTATAACAAGTTATATTCATTTAGTCTCTTGGCTAAACCATTGAACAAAACAACCAAGATAAAATTACTTTACTCAAAATGTCGTTAAAAATTTCTTTATTTGATGCTAATGAATATGCTAAGGCAATTGTTTGTTTTAAGTTGCCTTTTAATAAACCAATGATAAAGAAGCAACTTGAAGTTAATATGTTTAATTTGTTTGAATTGTCATCCCAAAATTTCATTATTTTATCTCATCACTAGCTACAAGTGAACGGGCATAGTTGATCTTGAACAACTTCCAACTACTTTTAACTGCTCTGTTAGTATTATTATTATTATCATTGAAGAAGATTAAGCCCTAAAGCTAATTAACCAGGATTTTAAAAATATCGTGAGGTAGTGCAAATTTACCTTTTTCATCAATTGAAATTCAAAATTGAATAGATCATAACACTTTCGATCTCCCAACACGAGTTAACTTTCTACACACTAAGTACGTTGGCACACCCTGTGTATTGATTAAATCTTCATCGCAATTCTATCATTGGACCAATGTATTTAATGGTACCTTCAATAGCAATTTATCGATATGTCAGAAAATAACCTCAAAGAACCTAAGAGGCTTTTACCTTCACTCCATGAAGTGGATTTATTGCAGGCTAATTGAATTGGAAAAAAACCAGTATGTTAATTATTTCATACAATTATAAAATTGCATTCTTCCGTGAATTTATTTCGTGCAACCAATTTGAGATTGTTTTTCATACCCATTAATTTTATTTCAAGTCGCTCTTATTGCTTGGCGATTGAACAAATGCTATGATATATCCTTATATTCAGTTACTGAATGAGCCGTTCCCATGGTGCTATTTGTCATTATCAGTAATTATTTGAGCTCCTCAGTGTGTGTCCTTCTCACGATTTCAATCACCAACTTTCCCTTGTACCCTTATCTTGTTAAAAGGCACTGCTAGGAGCCATAGTTTCAATTCGAGAGCTTGATAATTGACTTCGTCAAGTGTCACCTTGTCAAATACAGTTTATTTATGCTACTTTTCATGCTGATGGAAAGTGTAGTTTTCCTTTCAGTGATTACTCCCATATAATTGACAAAGTCGCATTTCCTTATTCCTTTCCAAACTCTCTTTTGATGCGGAATGGCGTTCTTAATTGGGCATTTGATTTTATACTATTTCAGTAATTGCTGAATAACAAACAATGAACTTCATTGATTTACACTAACCAAGAATTTATTTATGATTTATTTCTTGTTCTCGCTGTCACGCAACGACTTAGAGTAAGCTTAATGAGAAGAAAACTAAGAAGACTGCCCATGTTGCTTAAAGGGGGAAGTGTCCTTTCTTAAAGTTATGAAAGTCAGTTTCTCAGGTAATTTTGGCAAGTGAGTTCTTTCAATGGCCCTGTGGTATTTGACTATCTGCAGTCTTAAAGAGAACTTGAAATCTATTTCTAGTAGTTACTCTTAACATTATTTTGAAGATGTTATCTTACTGTTTGCATACTTGATACTCTAATTCATCATTCAGATATGAAGGGTTGAGCACTGCAAATCAGTTGAACTTCAAATGAACTTTGATTATAGCCTTGAATTATGCTAAAGGATCAATGGCGCCAAATCTAATGTTTGTGGAAAATGTGCTTGTGGAATAAACAAAGCAATATGTTATCAATAGGAAATATTAATAAAATATATATTTATCATCCAATTAAATAATTCATCCCCTTAAGTAGGCCGAAATAAGGTCATCATCAATGCCATCTTTTCTTTAATTAATCGTTATTTGCCTTAATTACTCTTTATTTATTGGTCTCTCTTCAATTTATTATGCGCAACTCATTTTATTTGTCATAGGAATGATTTGATTCATTGTCCAGTGAGAAGAATTTTCATTTTTGGTGCACTATATATTTTATCAAAATGTCGGCATTTTACATGATTACGCACTTCAAATGGCTTCCCAGTTTGTGTTTCAGCCCAATACCAAGTCCAACTTCCATTGCTCTTTGACAAAGTTCATCAACACCTTTCTATATAAAAACTGATATTTAAAAATATGTTTTCTTAACTTACATTTTGCAAAGCAGAGCATTCTAAATAATTCTCTGCCTTGATTTTGGCTGCCAATTTCCGGCCTTGCTTATAGGTAATTGTATCTCTTCCAGTATACCGAGCATCGGATTTGCACCCGACAAGAATAATTGGTGCAGACTTATGACGATCTCGAAGTAATTTAACCCACTAAATGTATTTCATCAAAGATCTAGCAATTATATAGTGTTACCCTCAATTCAACATTTTCGAAAGAAGTTACATTATCAATTGCAAAGCATATTATAAGTACATCCGCAGCATCAATGCTTCGATAAAGAATATTGTCAAATCCTTCCTGACCAGCAGTATCAATAAACGAAAATGTAACTTTTTCACCGGAGATAGTAGTGTCTGCCACATAATTATCATAAATCTAAAAATTTTAAAGGCAAAAAAACATTACTGTGGGTATATACACTTGTGGGAATTTGCCCTCAGATCGAAGCATTAGAATACATGTCTTCCCGACTGTTCCATCTCCAAGGAATACACATTTTTTAGTCGATGCCATTTGATAATTATCATTCAGAATCGCCAATTCAGATCATGCGATGTTATTTATATTACCTTTCGGTGCCTTTAAACAATAATATACTAAATTTTATGTACAATGCATATAAAAATGAAATATTTGCGAATTATAAAATATATTTTTATGTTGATTCATTATTTAATAATAAGTTAAAAGCAACTTTTAGCATTTACTAAGTTAGAGCCTGCATCAAGATCGATATCATGAATAAATTTAAAAATCGTTCATTTTAACTCACTTGTAATTTTTCCATGGCCAATACGTGGGATATTTTAAATTGATTTTGATGATTCGTTGAGTAATTTTTAATAAAATATTCAATATATGGTTGGAGAATATTAGTGCTCCAGGACACAATTTTAAATCGTATTATTGAATTTCTTGATGCCACGAAAATTCTTGGAGATAAAGAGCATTTAAAATTTGATCATGTTTAATATAAAGCATTTAGTAATGAAATCAAAATTGTTTAATATAACATTTTACGGCGACAAACATAAAATTGATTCTTTTTTCAATTTACTCTGACGATAGTGCTTGGTTATATTATTCAACTCAAAAATCCATCTCGTTAATTTTTTTAAAGCAGCTTTAAATGTCATCTACACTTTCGCTTAAAAAGAATTTGAGAATAGAACAGGTAGTATTTTGACCTTGAGATGTGGAATTATTTATTTCAAATGGCGGGCGTTATGATACTTATCATTTGCTCTTTAGCTGGCTTCGAGCTTCACAGGGGGAAGGAGGGACATAAAAGTGAGAAAAAGTGGAGATGGGGGGAACAGAAGAGTGATTCAAAGATGTAAAAGAGACAGGCAGACACAAAGGCAGAGAAAAGGTAGGATAAGTATGGTGGAAGTGATCGAATTAGACATACAACGGGATCATTGTAGTTTGGAGTCTGAAATCGACTGCCGATTTATAGACTTTTCGCCGTATAAGAATACGTTGTCCGGAGTGCACCACGTGGAGGTAAGTCTATCGCACACCCCAAGATGTGGAATTATAGAATTTTGACAAACGCGTACAAAATTAGGTGGAGACCTCAGTAGCGTACACGACTATCATTAACCGCTTGAAGGTACAAAATATGCCATGACTGACGTCTCGTGAGAAGTTTTGGTGTTTAATACTTATGCCTTTGTTAATCAACATATGCAGTTTTCTCTGTATTTTAACATTTTTTAATCAGAATTTGTGATTTGAATTTATGGATTTGTCGAGACAGTAGTCCTCATAAACCATATCAAATAGAATAACATTAGTGAAATATTTGATCTCCAGATAAGTCCATTTACTAAAACCAGTATCATGAATATATCTAATATGCTCAAATAACAGCATTTTATGGGGACTATATAAAATAAGGCTTACAGAAGTCGTAATGAAGATGCGAATCAAGTCGGTAAGGCCACTATAAAAGTGCCGAGGTTTATCAACAGGTAAAACGAGACTATATGTGTCACCAGTCACGTTCGTACTCAAAATGGAATATCTCGAGGAAGCTATTTGCTAACGTGATCACACATTTACACAATCAATGGACATTGTAGTTGAAATTATATCTCCAACTCCAATTTCTAGGTTGTCCACATCGTAGACGTAGGTCGAAAGTTCTTAAATTCGAGGTCTTATGATGTCATTGCTTAGCCTTATGTGAATTATATAAATAATGGTATTTATATGCTAGTATTTGATGTCATTGTCGTATTAGCAATGTTGGACCGAGTGCAAGACATCATTTTTCTACGTTCTTCTCTTAAATAATGCTGAATTAAAATCGTGACAAATAATACACCTCTCATTGTCAACGAAAAAGAGGTCCCATGGTGGAGTATACATCAAGGAAAAGGAGGAATAATATAAACGAAGTAATGACGTAAAACAGAATTGGTAGACTTTTTTGAGATTAAAACCGATCGGGTAGATATAAACTAGAATAAGTATTTATGGAGGCTACCGTAATTTTGCATTAATATAATTTTAGAAAATATTTTATATTCCTATAAATACACGATGTTATCCATGTGTTAAAGAAACTCTTATTCTTTTATGGTTCACTAGTCATCACGTGCTTTTACGTTATGAATGTACTTCATTGGTAACAAAATTAAAAATTCCGAGAGTAACTAAGCCTATTGCTGCATACTCTGTTTATTTCTGTTATTAAGTAATGAGTGTACCATGCAAACAGGAGCAGTGATTGATGACTTATTGTTCATTAAAAATGGATACTGAGGGAACATTTTGCTTGCAAATAATTAAAATAATTTTAGTTGTCATAAGTATCTAATGGATTAATGAATTGATGCTGATTTTTAAATTTACTTCGACTGCAGTAATTTTAATCAATTTTGTGAATGACAAATTGCCTAAAATACAAAGCAGCGCTGTATTTGGATTGCCGCATTTTGCGTTGTCTCATTTTCTAATTCCCAATATGAAGTATTTACTAGTCACTGGAGGCGTTATCAGTGGCATTGGTAAAGGAATCGTCTCTAGTAGCATTGGCGCTATTATGAAAGCCAACGGATGGGTTGTTACGTGCATAAAAATTGATCCATATTTAAATATTGATGCTGGCACTTTTTCGCCTTATGAGCATGGCGAAGTTTATGTTTTGGATGATGGAAGCGAAGTGGACTTAGACTTGGGCAATTATGAACGTTTTATAAATGTGACTCTCACTAAAGATCATAATATAACTACTGGTAAAATTTATCAACAGGTTACGCAACGAGAACGTAGAGGTGAATACCTTGGAAAAACTGTACAGGTATATTCACTTAGATAATCTTGAAAATCATTTCGTTTAAAATATCCCGTGATCTATGCTTCTCATTGATTTTATAGGTTGTTCCCCATATTACCGATGCCATTCAAGAATGGGTAATTAATGTCGCCGAAAAGCCCGTTGACGCGTCAAACCGTGTCCCCGAGCTCTGCTTGATCGAACTTGGCGGAACCATTGGTGATATAGAATCCATGCCCTTTGTTGAAGCTTTCAGACAACTTCAATATCGTGTGGGTCCTAAAAATTTCTGTTGTGTCCATGTTAGTCTTGTGCCAAATCTCTCCACTGTTGGCGAACCAAAAACAAAACCAACTCAAGTAAGAAGTCTTTCGTTTTTAAATATCTGAAGGACATTTTAAATAAGTGCTCCATATTTTTAGTTGTGATTTGTTGCTTCCTTATGTCAGTAGATATTAGACGCATTTTCTTATCCTTGAATTTCCTTTCTGCAAGATAGGGTGTCTTGAATTATTCACTTGAAATGCTTTACTCTTGATTAATCTTCCCACCGATTGGTACTAGTACTACTGAGTGATGTTATGCTAGTTATGATCAATTGATATTTATTGAACAGGTCAGTATTCGTGAATTGAGGGCGCGTGGTCTCCAAGCGGATATTCTCTTTTGCCGTTGCAATAGCGAACTCTCATCCAAAGTCATTGAAAAATTGGGTCTTTTCTGTCAAGTGCCAACTGACCATGTAAGTTCTGGAATGTTATGTCTATTATATTGTACAAATAATTGCACTTATCTAATTGATAGTCGTGTTGCGGCTTTCCATTTGCGCTTTCCGATGCTAACTGCAAGAATAACTAAAGCCCTATTTCAGAGCTAAAATGTATCCAACGTTTGAAGTTTGATGGAAGTTTAAATATGCGAGTTGGAGTTGTTTTACATAACTTTAACGAGGAGTTGGCGCTAAATATCTGGAATATTTTATTTCCACGACGTAAACTGGTACAGAATTCCATAAAAAATGAGTCATATCAATGTAAATGAATGAAGCTTCATTTGCAAATAAGTCCCTACAGCATGAACAGCGTTCATCTTGAGGATCTTGTGAGAAGATCGCTTTCAAATCCCCTATTGTTGCTACTTTTTCAATAAGTAGATATGACAATGATAATCACCTTGACCTCTTGTAACACGTTCAGTGTATGCCTTACATCGGATCATTAAATAATCTTATCTAATGACCAATCATAAATAAACGTGAAAATGCCAAATAAATCCTATTGTGCGGAGGGTTTACTATTCCATTTTCTGGATGTGAATGGTTTGAAAGGTAATTATGTTCAGTATGTCTCTTCTCCTTAATCACAGTAAGCCCGGTTGGAGCAAAAAGGGTGTTTAACTACTTATCCTTAGCTAAAGAGTGTGTGTGACTTAAAAGTCTCATTTCACAACAGGATAGAAGGGGATGACTCCTGGTGATCTAATGTGTGGGCATAATCTAACTGGGTTCGTCAGCTGTTGATATTTGACCTTTCGAAATACCTGATAGCAAGTCAAAAACTGTACTGCCTTCAGTGTCGAGCTAAATTGTAAGGTTTGGTCGCCTTTTAGTGACGGGGGTATTTACATGAAATAATGACAACAATAAGCACAAAAATATCCATAGCGAGGTATTTTAGGAAGTTGTCATTTTGAAACGGATGGGCTGAGTAAAAATGCCATTATCCATTCTATCCTATTCAGGTAATTCAAGCTCGTGATGTGGACAATCTCTACCAAGTGCCTTTGGCTCTCGAGTCGCAGAAACTCTCGACTCTGCTTCTGCAACACTTTGGCCTTGAGCCGAAAGAACTCGGGCCCACTCCCCCGCTAGCGGCCTGGGAAGCAATGGTTGATCATATGCTCCATGCCTCTGATACGATTCGTATTGCTGTCGTCGGCAAGTACACCAAGCTCAGCGACGCCTATTTGTCGCTCCTTAAGGTAAGTCATGCGCTGTACGCTGAACGATAGGAGTGTTTTTTTAGAGATCGTGGTCAATTGGATGATCGAAAACAGCATTGGTTATCTTTGGCATGGTAGTAGGATTTTGGAGCTTCTCTAATGACTATGTAATGTGCACGATAACCACTATGCCTTCGTGACGTAGTTGTATTATTGATTCACATAAAACGGATCAAATCAGTCAATTTGTAGCACCTCGTAATGGCTCAATATCTGTTTTTCTCAGTTGTGATGCCTAAAATAAGTTTCACTAACTAGCTCCCTATTTTGTAATTGATCGTTCACGCATGCTTTCATTCCTCGTCGATTTTCCACTCCCTCAATGGCCCAACTTAACTTGTCCTTCTAATTTCTGTAAATCTTTAATCTTGAGCTCCCCTTTAAAACCTTTTATTGGTCATTTCATTTGCTGGATGCGCATGTTGATCTATGCTTTACATTTTACTTGCTCGTTTAGTCAGGTAATTAGATTAAGTTCCTTCTATATTTTTGAAATTGCTGATAATTAATGATTTATTTGTTTATTGGACGATGGTACTGAACAGGAATCCGTATTCTTATTAATTGGAGTAAATGGTGGAAGTGAGCGCTAGTCAGTTCTCATTTTGTTGACCGCTAACTCTAGCCTGAAAATGTTACATCCAAGAGTTTCGATCAAACAGAAACGTTCTTACGTAGGCCTTAGTGATTAGGAATATATTGGCACTTGCTAGTCCTAGTGTTTATCAACTAGTTGGTAAGTAGGCTGAAATGCAAACGCCCCTCTTAAGCTTGAGTTATGATTCATGTTAACCTAATTTGCACCTATTAAACCAAAGATTGTATTGGAAAGAATATTGTGACAGTCGATAAATCATTTCAGTTGGGACTCCATTTGTTCCTCGAGCTCTAGCTGTTTAAGTAATTATCCCTTACGTTCACACCTTGTAATTAGGTCTCCTTTCCCCACATTCACTTTCGGAATCTATTTACTAATGTATTCTCATTTTGAGGTCACTGGGGGAGGGGGGAGAGTTGGCTGTTCTTATTCTTCTGTTTACAACTTCTATCAGACACTATGCTGATTGTCTGGGTCAAATTTGGAGATTCCTATGATGTCTAAATTAGCAAACATATAGTTGAAGTTAACCTTTGAAAGCCTCTCTCTCTCAATTACTCCTTCAGATAGTGACTTCTTCTATGTCTACTTTTATTTCCCATTAGACTCAATGATCATAGGCAGGGACCTTGCGCGCCTGAATGCGTCATTTCAATCTTTATGGGGTTTCCCTATTAGTTCAAAAGGTAACGTCATTATTACATTATTAATGTTAGTACTTATTGGACTTGGATTAACTCATATCCATGAGAAGGGAGAAAACGTCAGTATATTTTTATGTACAGGCAAATTTATGCAATTTAGTGCAATTATTAGAGATTTTGCATTGACGAATTTTATATTTTGTTTCCTTTCCATTATTCCTTCAGTTGCCAAGCTAACCAATTCGAATTATGACGTACAGTAAGTTTTCGCCATATACGAAGCGAGAATTTGTTTTTTCTCCCTCTACCTTACTTTACCACTAAATTTAACGTTGTTATAGCTGCATAAAAAAAGATGTACTTTATTAGGAAAGGAGACGGTGATTTTCACTGTCATTAATCATATAAACACTGAGTCATAAACGTCTTTCCCTTACTTTTCCTTTTTACTTCAGATCCCTCGCGTTTATTTTCGCTTTTGTTTAGAAAGGTTGTGGGAGCTAAATTAGTCTTGTTCTATGCTCATGAACTATGAACTGGTTTCTCCTCCTACGAATTTATCGCTTCATTACGTGCCTTCTTTTAGGCATGTGAGCACGCGGCAACTTACTGCAATTGCAAACTGAAGGTTGACTTGGTCGATTCGGAGGAGTTAGAACCCGCCATGGAGCACTCTTCACCGGAACAATATCACGAAGCCTGGTTGTCAGTGAGCAACGCACAGGCCGTTATCGTCGCCGGGGGCTTTGGGCCAAGGGGTTGTGAGGGCAAGATAGCTGTTATACGGTATTGTCGTGAACGGGGTGTCCCCTTCTTGGGCATATGTCTTGGATTTCAACTCGCTGTTGTTGAATTCGCTCGCAATATTCTTGGATGGAAAGTTAGTTGAGCTTCCTTAGAAATTAATTTCGAATGGAATCTGTTTCTCTTGTAAGGTGAAACATCTTTTTTTAAGTATGCCCATTTAATATTGCTAGTCTTCAGTTAACTTGCACCCGTAAATAGTATGGTCGTTCCATGACATTATTAAACGTTCTTATTGGAATTAAGGTGTATATAATATTACCAGATCGAAGAGGTTTAGTCAATTTTGTTAATACCACTTACAGACGACTTATAAATCAATGTTCGCATATGGATAGCTCTTACTATGCCAAATTGCTGACTTCGTGGTTTTGAGCTTCGTTTGTAGGAATCCTATCAGTTTCTAAATCTAACCTTAACAATTTTAGTTGTTGCTAATGCCGACGCACTGGGAACCGGGCCACAGAACGAGTGAGTTGACACTCGTGTCACTAAAACAATTCGGAGGTAGCTAAAAAATCCGCATCAACTTATTAGTCATTATGCTTAGAATATACATAAGTGTTTCTTCGCGCGACGTCCAATTATTTCCAATTGTGGTTGCCTCCGTGAGGTAGTTGAGAGGAGTAAATCGTTCTTTGCTCACACCGACATCTCCTTAGTGCTATGCTATTAGCAACGAGTTAGTGTTTATTAATCTCCACAATGTCTAGCAAGTAGCCGACATGCGATAGCTTTTGAGTCAATAGCGAATACTTGCTCATTCTAACTGAGACTTGAAGCCATCAGTGTTGGAAGCATCCCTTTGTCTCAATCGATTAGAAAATTAGGTAGACGCATTTATTTGATAACGAACCTTTTCTGCCATCATTTTTGAGCTTAATGGAATAAAAACTTCACGCTTTCGAGTCCTTTTAAATTTTCTCTAGAGCTTTTTGTTAGCATTGCCATTGCACAATGCTATTAAGTTCGTATTCTTTTTTAGGATTCAAATTCAGCAGAGTTCGATCAAAATACCACACACCCTGTGGTAGTCGATATGCCCGAATTCAATCCTGGAGATATGGGTGGCACTATGCGCTTGGGTTCCCGTCGAACCAAATTCGTTGTCTCCCCCGTGGTGAAGGATTACCTGGACAAATTGGAGTTTGCTAAGACGACTAATCGTCTGTCTCGTGTCTCAGTTTCCGGTTCACAGGTCTCTGAGGAGGATAGTGCTGAAGATATCGATGCTAATAACTCCAATGAAACTGAAAGCGATAAAGAAAATTTCCCTGATTACTTCTCTTACTTCAATACCTATCGACTGGTGAATGCTGATCATATCGACGCCAGGCATCGACATAGGTGAATTAGCTTTCATTTTTTAGCTATTTTATTTATTAATGATGAAGGCAAATATTTTAATCAGATTAGTGGGAGTTTAACTAAAATTGTTTTTCTCAGCCCAGAAGAGTACCTCTTCCTTTTTAAAGGTCTCTTTTTTAATGAAACTCGCTTTTAATCTTAGATTAGCATTGAGGAGACAATGATGCAATGTTTTGACTTTCACATAATTTGGCAGTTAAAAGCCTTAGTGATCCAAAAGTTAGTGTACGGGCATTGCTTTCTTTTTTACCTACCTGACAACTTCATAATTATTGCTCGACTTCTGTTGGAGTGGGAATTTACATAATTAAAGAAAGGAACTAAAATTTTAGTAATGGCAGCCGGTCGAATCATATACCTCCTTCGGTCTTGATCGGTTTGCATCATCTAGGCCTTTTTAAGCCTTCTTTATAGATAGTTTTTTGAATCTGGTAGTTCATAAGGCTTCAGATTTTTCCTTTGCTTTCACGGGCGAAATCTTTGGTGAAAGTTGTCTTTAGTATTTCCCACTGAGTTAGTTCTACGTCAGGATAGTCCAAAAGTTCGCCGCTTCGTGGTCCTAAGTGGAACTCATTTTACCAGGATCGGCTTTGTGAACATTCTGGCTTTCGCGCTATTATTACTTAAAGTCTATGAATTTCGATATACTAGAATTTCCTTCAACAGTAGCATTTTTGATGAGTGTTATGACTTCTACTTCTCCATTATCAGTTGAAATTTCTTTACATAAGCCATATTCTAATTTAATTCATTTCTTATTTTAGATACGAGGTTAATCCAAAGCTAATCAACGATTTTGAGGCCAATGGTTTTGCATTCGTAGGTCGGGATGATGCTAAAGGTAACAGAATGGAGATTGGAGAGCTGATTCGACCTATTTTTTGTAAGAGGGGTAAATCTTCGAAAGATGCAGCCTCTAGTTTAAGCGAATCCAGACATCCCTACTTTGTTGGGACTCAATTCCACCCGGAGTTAACATCGCGGCCGATGGCTCCCTCACCTTTCTTCTTGGGTCTAGTATATTCGGCGCTAACCCAGCGTCCATCACGATCTGGTGATTCATTCCTGAAGGGACCGAATCATCTTCTCGTACCTCCGCCCAAACCATGGTATCCTAGGCAATCGAATTCCATGTCGTATAATTCTCTTTTTCCTATTGTAAAGAGGGCATAGGAATATCTATTTACAGGTCTCCCAAGGAAAAAACCTTTCTGACAACCATAATCGCTTTGTCTACATTCGCTTTGTGTAATATAAATGATAGATAGTAATCAGTATTGAAAGTCTTCTTATTGGTTTCTTTTATGTAAATGTTCGGGAGTTAGTGTAAGTTCATTTAAAACCTAAAGTTAGGGATTGCCAAGGTATACTGTGCGGTATTGACTGAGGTCAATTTGAAAGAATAGGTTTTCACGACGGATTGTCAAAGTCTCGACTTGATGATTGACGCTGGCTTGGCAGGATCGAGGTATATTAATATACGCTTCCTTTACCTCAAAATGTTAAAAAGCTTAAGAACTTACGTATGGAAAACCCAATTCAACTGTCGGTTACGCCGCTGATTATTCTCAAATTTAATCAGCCAATAATATCGAACGGATGAACTCTTTTCTTGTAACAGATTCGCTGCATAAGACAAGGGATTCATCGTTAAATCTAATTTAACTCAAAATTAAAATCAATGATTTTACTTCTTGTATTTAAGAGTACACTGTTTCTATCAGAAGTTATTTAATTAACAATTTTCCCAACCTAAAAAGTTTTAATAAAAATGCTATATATAACATACTCAGTGCCCATTTATCAAAAAGGTACATATATTAATATCTTAAAATTCTTACTACCAAAAACATTATAAGAGACTGGAAATATGAACTTCAGAGATAAAAAAGAGAAATAATGCAAAAAATTCCATCCAACGATATTATCAATAAATCTAAATCTTTTATAAAAGAGTTCAGTCCATGAGAGTTTTATAATCAATAAAGGTTCTCCGTAAAATGCATTTATATAACATTGTCAATAATCTTTAGACGATTTGAAATATAAATAAGCTCAGAAATCGTTTTATTTTACTGATTATTTGTTTAAGTTGTGTGCATTTTTTGATTCGTTCTCATTATAAATAATACTTTGGCGGATTATTTGTATCTTTATGAGCGTTGGGGCTTTATGAAAATTTTACCACCATTTTTTGTATTTCATCAGTATGGATGTTTATTCACCGTCCCATCCCACTGATCAGGATGGAGAATGTGAGGCTCCTTCCTTAGGTTATAGCAATATTACAGGAAACGAGCCCTACGAAAATGAAAATACCCAGGATTCATATAAAGTTGCATCAGATTCTGAGGTTTTTACTGGTGATAAGGATTATTGTCAAATTAAGTCCCCCGATTTGTCCCCCACTCTAACATCGTCTTCAGGAAATCCCGAAGTTCCTTTAAGCGTGCAAGAGAAGCCTCATTGTGAAACTCTTTATAAGCCTTCAAGTACAGTGCAGTTGGACGAAAATAAAGACGAAAATGGAAGCATTAATCAAAGGAAAAGGGAATCAAATGAGGTCAAAAAGGTCACTGCAATTGAAAACATAGTGAAGAAGGACAGTGACTGTAATAAAATATCACGTACCAGGGATAGGATATCTGAGAAGGAACGTTCGCAAAAAGATTCCTCTCTATCCCGTAAGAGTTTCTCTAGTCACCATTCTGCATCCAGATCTTCTCGCCATCGAAGTCGTAGCCCAAATCGTAGACGAAGAAGCCGGAGTCCAGTTAAAAGTTCAAGGAGGCGTTCATCGTCACGTTCTTGCCATCATCGAGGCTCTCGTAACAGACGCCATTCTAGGTCAAAATCAAGAGGTGGTCGGCGTAAACATTCTCGTTCCCGCTCACGCACTAGATGTGATCGTCGTGGACGAGATTTACACCACAAAGATCGCGAGTCTCGTAGTCTTAGTCGACCACGGAACAGTAATCCTTGTGCAGGCAGCGGTGCTGAACAAACCCGAAATGAGCATCAAGGATCTTTTATTTCTACGATGACTGAACTTATTGTGCCTCCATCTCAAACTTCCAACGCCCCTCTTCAGGAGCCGGATTCCAAAAATAATCCCACTGAATGTCAGTATGATATGGACGAGACTAGTACTCCAGATATCTCTGAGGATCAAAATCCTGGTATTGGGTCAGTGAATGAAAATGCTGTTTTTGTATTTCAACAAGGTCAGCCCCCACCTGTTGGTACAAATTTCATGAATTGGTCAAACCAAGTTGATAGTCTTCCTCAGTTTAATCAAAGCAATCTTCAGGCGATACCTACTATTCATAGTGCCTTTCAACAGCAGCACCGGGCTGCTTCGCCACGATTCAACAATAATTACCAACAGCAATTCCACAATATTGTTCCTCCACATGATTTTGCACCACAGCCTTGTTCCAATCTCCTTCCTCAGCGTCCCTCAACCGCCTTTAATTCATCTACCACGGCCATCCCTCGGTTTCCGTCTGCTCAGATAATGGGTTTCAATGGAATGTTAAATCCACTTTTGAATCCCTTTACACTTTTGACTACTCAACCTCCGCCACCTCCTCCTCCCCCTCCTTTTAACCCTGCTTCTCATCAGTTCATTCAACAACTTGGGAGTGGAAATCCCATAGTGGCTCCTTTCCAACCACCTCCTTTGGAGATGTCTCGTCGTAATTCCCCTCCTCCTCCACCACCCCCCGCATCTCAGCACAATCTCCTCGAAACCTTGATGACAAAGGCTGGACTTTCTGCAGATGGGCTTCATTCTAGTAATCCCACCTTCTCCATGTCTGCCATCCCCTTGCCTGAATCTTCTGCACCTCCCCCTATTCTTGAGAACAAATCGCCCATGAAGAAAATAAGCAAGTTGTTGAGTGGTGCAGCTAACAATCTGTCGAATACTTCTCATGGTATAAGTGCCGTTAAATCTTCCCCTCCTCCCCCACCGCCACCGCCATTACCGATTTTGTCTTCTGGTTTCCCGCCTCTTCCAGCGATTTCTGAGATCCCTAACGGAAATGGCAATGGTCCTTCTGTGAGCAATGAAAGTAAGCGTCACCATCACAAACACCGTTCGGAGCTCATTCAACAAATGTTGTCCAAAAAGAAACGATCTGATTTTGGTAGCTCTCGTGAATGGCAAGAACGCATTGCGTTGGAAGTGAGGGGCTTTATCAAACCATACTATGTCTCCGGTAAAGTTTCTAAGGAGGATTGTCGAACTGTACTTAAAAGATCTGTAAATAAAGTAAGTTATGTTCGTTTCTTGACTATATTAGGTTGTGGTGTTTTTACTAGTCTTTTTTTTCAAAAGATATTCAGGAGTAAATGTACGTCGATTGAGACACGGAAAATTGGAGAGTTTGTGAAGTTGTATTTGAAGAAATACCAGAGGTATCGAAAGTGGCAGGCTCGCCAGCGGGAAAAGATGCACGCTGTCAATAAAGAACCGACTGTACAGTGATTATTACTGGTATTTGCATTGATATATTTTTCCATGTGTAAATATATATATATTCTCTTTATGCTCTCTTTTCCATCTGTGACTACGTGCAGCATTCTCCTCTTTTTGGTTCTCCTTTTTTAAACGTCGTTGTATAGCTTCACCTTGGCCTGTTGTACATTTTTAACAGTGAATTTGCAAAGGTGAATACTGTTGGTCAATTAAATTGTACTCTGGTTTGGTTTTGTTTAATGGAATACCAGATCACTTTGATTAATTACCATTCGCCTTGGGTCTGTAGTTTTCAGGTAATTCAAACGTTTCGTAAGTTTTGACAATTTCGATGCGTCTGGATCTGCTCGTCTAAGCTTCCTGTGTTCATATTTTACTTCTTGTTCTCTCTAAGCATTGCAGTTTATGTTCTATCTTTGTGATCTGAAGGGTACCTAGCGAACTATCAAGGCCAAGTTTGAATAACCTTGACCGAGGCATATTGCAAATGCTATCAATTTGTTGCGCGCCTGGGTTGGTTGTAGGTTCTCGTTAGTAAATGGTCAAACATTTGGGAGCTCTTTATAAACGATTGGGTCATATGGTTCAGGCTTTACTATGAGCTTTGGTTTCGTTTATAATCAAGTGTCACAGGTTCGATGTCGTTACAGAACTAGTGAATTGAGGGAGGGCTTAACCACGTGAGTTTAAACCTTATTGAAAAGGGATAAACAATGCGAGCCTCCCATTGCAATAGTTTTGTTTCCTTATCCCAGAAAAGCTTTTTTGTCAAATCAAATCAATTCTCGTCGAAGTACTTGTTAATCTTAATCACCTAGAAGTGTGTTCGAATGCGGATTTACCTTAGGAGTGGCTCCTTCAACTCTCAACATTTCCCTTAATGAGCTTTGCCATTAGCTGTGGCCATATTAAGGCACAATAAGGGAAAAAATCGTTTGCACATTTTCCAACTATCATTTTTAGACAATCTGTACTTGGACCTCGCATTCAGCACTGTCTATTATTCGCCTTTCCTAATAGAGTCCATTCTTCATATCCCTTATTTGTAACCAGGTAATTGCTTTCCCTGGTAGATTTCGAGGAGAGCTGGTGTGGGGACAGACATGTTCAATCATTTGCACTTCTGTAACATCACATTTGCCCAGGTGTTATAAGTTATCTGCTAAATGTAACAACCAGTGCTCCCTCTAGCAGGAAGTAGATATTTAAAGGCAGTATATTTGATTGTTTTCCTCTCTGATTTCTCGGTCCCAACAATGTATTTATTTATTTCAAATGGCAGGCGCTTTGATAGTTATCATTAGCCCTTTAGTTGACTTCGGGCTTCACAGAAGGGAGGAACATTAAAATGAGAAAAATTCGACAGGGGAAAAGAAGAGCGATTCACAGATGTAAAAGAGATAGACAGACACAAAGGCAGAGAAAAAAGAGAGGTGAGTACTGTGGAAGTTGTCGAATATGACATACAGTGGGGTCATGGTAGTTTGAAGTTAGAAGTCAACTGCCGGTTAATAGACTTTTTTGCCGTGTGAGTATACCTTGCCCAGGGTGCACCACGTGGAGGTAAGTCTATCGCACACTCCCCCCCCCCCCCCCCCCCCAATAATGTATATTCTGCCCTTTATTGCTACAAATAAACTACTTTGCGTTCTGATTTCAAAAGCCTTCACTCTTTTCCAGATAGACGACAGGATTCCAAAAGTTTAGTGAAGCAATCAATAATTCCGCAATATGTGCTTTGCTTATAAATGACCGTTTCGTTTTCTACTACAATGACTAGACGTTCATTAAAACTATTGGTCACCATCGCTTCGTTGGAGGAGGGATGTGTAGGTGGGGGGTGGGGCGTGCAAATGAAACAAAAATTCACTGATCTCACTTGCAATGTTAATGTTTCTTTGGTCCCATGTCCATTATTTATATACCTTACTGAATTCATGCTCCTTCATATATTATAAAGATCTACTTAGACCAGGGTATCATCAGAAACATGAAAAGTACTACTGTGAGACAATAATTAAAGATCGATAGATAAGCCATAAGCAAGATGAAGTGAAAGAGATAGGAACCTTGTAATAGTTGTTAAGGTAATTTAAGTGACATTTTAATGTTATTTGGGAAATTAAATCACTGCAGATACGTAGTAACGGAATTTGTCAAGAAATTTATTTATATTAAATGGCAGGCGTTTTGATAGGTATCATTAGCCCTTTAGTTGACTACGGGCTTCATAGAGGGGAGGAGGAACATCAAAGTGAAAAAAGTCGATAGGGAGGAACGGAAGAGTGGTTTAAAGATGTAAAAGAGACAGATACAAAGGTAGAGAAAAAGGTAAAATTAGTACTGTGGAAGTGGTCGAAAATGACATACAGTGGGGTCATGATAGCTTGAACTCAGAAGTCAACTCCCAGTTTATAGACTTTTTTGCCGTATGAGTATACGTCGCCCAGGGTGCACCACGTGGAGGTAAGTCTATCGCACACCCCATTTGTCAAGAAATAGCTTGAAGAAATACGAATTTCTCTTCAACAGGCATGGGAGGCCCCATCTCTTCATTTTTATGAACGTGGTACTTATTAAGGCATTAAACCACCTCCATTCCCGTTAGTATGACCAGTTGGAAGCATTTTTTCCAATGAAGATAGAAATTGTGCGTGTGGGTTCGCGATGTTTGAATCTCGCCCATAAACGTAGTAATAGCATTCGAATTTGCCATTAGAAAAGCTCCATTATTGCCACTCCTCATAACTAAGCTCGAGCTTTATTCATATAGTTAAGTAAATGATTATTAAAGGACTCTAGAGTGCCCATTATAGCCAAAAATTTCGTTAATGGGAAAATGGTTCATTTAAGGCCCTTTTTCAAATAATGTTTGCTAAACAGGTAAAATCCTAAAATTACCACAGCTAATAAAGTCCCTTAAGTCATCGTCGAGTTAGAAAATGACCATTTTTAATAATAAGTTCTCCAACTATTTGTTTCCTTCCAAATTCTTTACTTATTGTTTACTCTGTCTGGGTTATTGTCCCATAATTTATCAACAAACAATTGTATTTAATTAACTTTAAGATTAATTGTTTTGTTTATTAAACAAATCCCTCCAGAGAAAAGTAAGAATGCTTACTGAGTTAAAGTTTGCACTGGAAATCTACTAGATATAAATTGAGTTAAAATCACCAGAACGACGGGATCGCATAGCCCTCGAAAAATAGATTTAAGCAACCGCCTTTATGAGGTTTTGGTACTTTAGCTCCTTAGAAATCGATTTTATATAAATGACTTGGCAGACATGGCGCTATATCCACTTTTTCGGTCGGTATTTTTCTGCACTGTGATTTTTATCATACCGTGGCTATTATTTTTTGGGCCTTATCTTACCTCTACCATATGACTGTTGCCTTAATTAGCATGGCTATTTAAACTCATTCTCTAATTCGCTTTATATGTAATAATTTTATTGATTTTGTCTTATGACGTAATTAACTTTAGGTAAAAATAACGTACTTTAGGTTGACTAAGCTAGGTGTGTTTGAGGCTAAATTTTGTCGCTCTTTATAATTGTATGCACAATGTGAAACAAGCTGCTCGACCATAAATTGGAAATATGCAGAAAATCCATACAGATTCATCATTCTTTTAAAGAAGATAATGTGGTTACATGTCTGCCAATGATTCTCTGTGATTGTGAGCCCCTTAAAATCTCTTTTTCGATTAGTTCATATGACTTTTCTCTGGATCGATTTTGAAACAGATCTTTAAATGTTTTAACTATTAATCGGAGGTAAAGCGAAAATTTCACATACCTGCCGCTTGATTCACTTGTGTTAGTGATCCGTCATTCTTTAGGCCGCTGAGTCTATGAGAGGTGAACATCCGCACAGAGTGGTCTCTGCCTCGTTAATAGACGAGTGGATGTTGACTCGAGTTTGTCTTGGCCATTGCTCCCTTCATATCAGAATAACCCTTAATTCAATTCGCCTAAAAATAGAGTACAAAGCTACATTGTAGCAACTGCACAGCTGTCTTGCCTTCTCTCCCTCTCTCTCTCTGAATCTAAGCAAACTTTAGCCTAGCAGAATTAAAGCGTCTAACAGTGCTATAGCATAGAATAGCCAGTTACAACAACTCGAAACTACACATCCATTTTTGCTGACCAAGACGAAGGGTGTTTTTCATCCCAACAATTTGACAATCCTCAATGGCACATCTACGTTCAAATTATGATTTTCAAAAGGATATAAAATGACGATGTCATATTGGTGGTAATATTATTGCAGAGTAATGGGAAAGTTAAGATTATCAAATCCACAATGGTGTCCCTATTGGTTCAAGAACCCTCAGGATGGGAGATGACTCCATGCATTTTCCAGAATAATTCCTTTGTTGTATTCGCCATGAAAATACGTCTTTATAACAGATGAGCCAAACCTTTACCACTCTAAGTCATGACGAATTGGCTATTCCACAAACTCTGAAGACTGTCTTTGTCCTCCCCCCCCCTCCCACCCTCCTAGCTAATAAGCACCTTTGTTTATTATCTGTAACTTATGATGTTTCTCGGATTAAAAGTCAACTTTTTCAGTCTCAGTGATGAGCAAGAGAATGTAAGAAGTTTTAGTGTTTAGACTTTTATGGAGAAAATCAAAGTTCATTTAAATTAGGTTGTTTTCTATGAACGTGCTTCGACTTGATCTGTAATGTGATTGTCATAGCCAAAGACAGCTTATACGGGCAGATTTAAGCTAAACGGTTCTTTATTTCTTTGTTTTTGTTTTAGATTGTGGGGGGGGTATTCCGCAAATACTAAACATAAGTTGAGCAAACTGCATTCTTCTATGCTAAATCAATGATACCAATAGCAGATAGTAGAACTTTTAGGATTTTGGCAGAGTATAAGCACACACTAGACGTGAATAGTCTGAGAGAGAAGGGTGTACGAGTATAGCATGCGTATATTGTTGGCTCCACGATTGGACATCTTGGTTGCAACCGCAACTCTTCCAGCGCTG